TGCGTGTACAAGTTTTGAAGCAGTACTCTTCGAGAGAACATTCTTTTTTGCTTTTATGTTCAATACGTATATGTCAATACTTTTTTCTTATCGAGAGACGTGAGTGCGGTATTTCAATGTCAAAATATAAAATACTCATATATAATAAAAAAAATTCAACATGATTCGAGCATTGACGAGAGTGACACTACCAATTATTAAGCAATACGCTCTAAAAATTATCGTCAAACGGTAAATAAAAGAACGTAATACTTTTACAAATATCTCAGGTTAATTGGACTCTCTAAAATAATTCCTATCTATCTTGTATTTAAAGAATCGCCCTTCGTCTTTTTATTATTAAAATTATTTCATAAAATTATCACGTGATATAATTTTGTCTAACGATAAAATCGATTATAGTCACTTTCGTTATTAGGTTCGTAGTTTATTTTATTCATTGTACATTCATTATTGAAACGCGATAATTATACCAATACCTGTAAAATTTATTACTTTTATTTTATTCTCTATAATGACTTTCCTAACGTGGTCAAATATGTAGAGAATGCGTGTGTAATAATGTGTGTAATATACCGAGAATATTCTAATTAACTTAAAATACGCATCGGAATATTATCTCATATAGTATTCCGATATTCCGATATATTCGATATAAAGACAGTTGTATGTAGATTTTTGTAATTTTTAGTAATTTTTGATTTATTGAACAACAAATTGATAATCATGATTCTTTACATTTGAAAGTTGAGAGAGAAGAAGAAAAATGTTAAAAAAAAACACATCGATATCGAAATTCTAGAACATGTTATAGACAAGTCATTATCGTGCAATTGCAATATCGGTGATTTCGCGTAACATAGAATTAATCTTGGATAATTCGATATCTGGGACGCACGTTTCACGTGAAACTGCGTAGAGAGGAGATGGAGAGAAAATGGCAGATGAATGGAAACGTGCTTATTGCGAGAGATGCGCCGAGTGAAACGATGAGGTAAGAACACTAAGAAGCTCGGTCTCGCGGAAGAGACTGCTTACAGCTCCCTTGCCAGAGATGCGCGTTTTCGATCATGCGTAAAACGGTACAGCTTCAAAGTCGAGCTGCTTCTTTTTCGATATCGCTCGCTCATATTCAAAGGATCCGCGCAGCGAGATAGGGATTATTTCGAATGCTCCAATGATCCGTGCAGGTCATTGCACATTATCCACTCTGATACTGATTTATATAAATATAATTTTGTTAAGTGCAGTTTTATGTTTACATAACATATAATACTACAACGCGCGTGTACGCGCGTATATTGTGCTACGGAAATTTATTCCCAACTTGTATAGAAAATATCTCTTGCCTCTCTTGCCTCTCTGAGTAGAATTTGGAAAATTGACAAAATCGATGAATTATCGTTCCGAGTTGTTTTCGCGCGACCAAAATAAAACGTTTTCCCTCTTTGGTAGAAATTTTAACGGCGCCTGAGAAATATTTCAGACTGGAAGACGAAAGAAGAAGAATCGATACCTTTTACACAAATATAATATCGCACACGTAAATCGTCTATCCGCTCAATCTCGCTGACCCGGCGAGATTCAGTAGGACGGATGTTGTTGAGCGCCGTCAGGGCTGAGATGTAGGCTGGTGTCAGGTCAGGATCGGCACGGGAACGCGGTTCGATCGTCGGTGGCTACGGGAGGCGACGCGAGGCGACGCGAGGCTTCGTCTTATAAATTATTGCGGGTTCTCGACTCCGCGGGTTACGGAGGGTCCTTCAGCCGAGTTGCTACCTTGGAGCACAACCTGACGAGTGGTGTCCTGACAAGCAGCCTGTTGCGTGACCCGAGCGATCAATATCTGTGCGAACGCAACACCCGCAACCGCTCTCCTCGTGTCTTCGTATAAACCAAGCGAGACGCGCCTCTCCCGTTAACTCCCGTACGGTGTGCCGCACGGGGCTGACGCATGACGGGGCCTTTTCTTTTCTCTCGGCTTAATCTTTTTCGACTTGAACAACCTGTCGTCGCGCGCTCTGATGCATCGTTTCTGATCCATATCGTACATCCTACCGTAATGCGTAATCGCGAGTCTACTCTCGATGACAATTTTTCTAGCAGCGCTCCAATCCGATATTGTCTTTCATATATCTATCTCACTCATTTTCTCTTATTCACACTTTTTCTAATCAGAAATGGAGTCAATTTTCTCTAGCTTAACCCTTTCGAACCTAAATTACCCAATTAATACTCCGTTCCTTGCTCATTATTTTCAGCTACATTTTTATAACAATTGCGTAATATTCAGAGTGATTTATCTTGTAAAAAATTATTAATCTGGACATGTCCATTACAGTGTCAAACGATTCATTATTATATCATAATACAGGTGTAAAATTCTTTTCACAAATGCAAATAAAGTTCAATTTAAGTAGGATGGCAGTTTTATTGTTTTGTTGCTCACTTGTACTATGTTTCCGAGTTTCCTGTTTAATCTCTCTCTCTCTCTCTCTCTCTCTCTCTCTCTCTTGTCCCAAGTTTAAAGAGTTTAAGGAGTTTGAGGAGAGAGTGTCATTTTCATATTATGCGCGTAGAGTACAGTCGTGGTCAGAAAGGTTGTAAACATTCGGAAATGCGAGAGATTATTTACGCATTCTTAACATTCATATATGTATATGATACATACGAATATTCCAAAAACTCATTGTAAAACATTCTTTCTGACCATAACCGTACGTAGACGTACACTCAATATCGCAATGAAAAGAAAGAGGGCATTGCAGTGAGAATATTTTATTAAATACGAAACGATTGAGAGACGAAAGGGAGTTGCGACATTCGCGCCTATCTTTTTACTTAAACTTTGTTTAATTATGCAATATCTTAACGAACAAGTATGGTGATATATAGATGCTTGACGAAGCCCGTCTTCGAAATTAACGATGGCGCTTATGGCGCTTGGCGTCGCCACGCTCGTTAACGTCATTTGCCAAGCGAATACAAAGGGAGAGGTAGTAGAGTTTCGAATAGAAATTTCAGTAATGTTCTTTCGAACATATATGTACAAGTACATATAGATTAGGAAAACTCCTAGTAGATGCAATAGACATATATTTGTCGCGTCATAATTTATCTATTACGTATTAAACGATAAAACAGTAAATATTTGCATAATTATTATGTGAAAGATAGCCATTTAATTATCGGATGTGCTCCATCTTTTTATTTAGAATTTATCTAAAGATTTCATACGTCTTTAATTAATATTTTTTCTTCTTTTTTTATAATATATTCGTTTACATACAACTCTTTATTTCTTCATACAATTTTCAAGTATGTAGAAATTGACAAATAAATACCAAAAAATGTATTTATTTTGTCTACTAGCTTCATTTCTAAATAAATTTGAATATTTTCGGCATAGGCTTTTCATTCCTCGAGTTGATATTTATAGACTTTCATCTATTATTCAAGTGTCAAAAAAGAGATGGTCACTGCTAAATACATTTTGTGGGTCACGATATATATTTAGGAAATTTATTTGTCACATTTGTAGCTCGTGCTCCGATTTGCCATTTTATTTATAACCTGGCTCAAATGTCATCCGCGAAGGATGCCATTCTTCGGTGAGCTAATAGGTGCTAAACACAATCGATTTTATCATTTCTTTGTTAATTTATACACATGTTCTGTTCAATATTAGACTTGAAAATACCAATTTCGGTATTCAACAGAGGTGAAAGAAAAAAAGTAACAAAGTAATTCTCCTTTTCAAAACTGGGGCAAGTAGACGATACAATTGCGGTCTCTTATAATTAAAAAATCTACACAACTATGACACTTTTGCACAGGAAAAATCAATTGGAGATTAATTAGAGAATTTGAAGAAATTATGTAAATAAAAAAAATATATATACATATACATATGTATATAGAGGTTTGTTTGCAAAGTGCATGGAGAAAATTGTGTCTCTTTCTCTTTTATTCCACTGCGCAAAAGATTGCGGTGGAATCAAAATTTATTCAGCATTTCCGGCTTAGAGCAGAACACATACGTAGAAATGTGTATATATCGCTTGAGAGAGAGATGAACGTAATGTTAACATTATTACGTACGAAGAAGATATTTACTGATAAATCAGATATTTGTAGCAAGTAAAAGTTTTTACTTGTACTTTAGATGCGTCGGCATTTTGCCTCCTACGTCACATCCGCTCTCATGTATTCCGTTTTGCATAGCGACAGGAAGCTCATCGGTGACAGAGTCATCGCTCGCGTTCGTTGTTTAGAGGCAAATGATGGGGGCAGGTAGCTGGCCGGGTTAAGGGAACCATCGTATCGAGCCGGTGAACGGCTCGGGGGCCTTTATCCACAATCCCGGGGAAAACCTTGGACCTTTAAGGGGTTGGCCTCTGTGTCCTGGAAATGAACGCGCAAAGAAGCTACTGGAGCAACCTGCACGAGGGTGGACCGAGGTTGCCAGCAGGTGGCAGGTTCGCCGCGTATCGATTTCTTACGAATCTACCCGGGCTCGGAATCGCTGGGGTGGTTCACGCAAGCGGCTCGACGAATCTACGTGATCGCTCTCGCAAACGGATAGCGGAAGGTCGTAAGGTAGATGCGCCACTCTCTGCATCGGTTAAAGCCACAAGAAACCTTTCGAGAACGACCCAAGTTGCCTCTGTACTCGCCAAACTAACTCGCTTTTCCAACATATCGAATATATGTAGCCTGAAAAATTACAATTTACAATTCTCCCACGCTCTTTATTTTACTTTATCAATCTATTGTAATATCTCACACGTGTTGCGTCTACATGTGTCAGAAAAATCACAAAATGGCCGCGTGTCGCAAAGCTGTTTCCAATTTTTCATTTCTGCCTAACAGAAATTATCTCGCTTTACTTTTGCTTCAAAATTATATTTTCTTACGTTTCCATATGTGTACTCGCAACATGCGATATTAGCATTCCATTCTTTCGTAATGTTATACCCCCGCTATTAAAACTATAATACTATTACTATATTAAAAATTACTCAAAAACTTTTAAAAAGAGAGGATGCTATATTTTAACCATCATTCCCTCTCTTTGCTTGCTTTTATTTTTTAATTGCAATCTAACGCTACTTTTAAATGCAATACGCAAATTTGTCGTATACATTGTTCCAAGTGAAAAGATGAAAGTCTCGTTCGTTCATGAGTTTGGTGCTCAACATAGTATCGTTAGTATAATAGTCTGGCCATTTGACTGTTTCTCTGGGGACCCATTGGAATGAGGAGAGAGAAGTAATCTCGGCTAAGACGAATCTATTACAAACTTTCCATACAATGTCTTTCAACATTGATGGATTAATTGGCAGTTACTATGCTGTTATATTCTATTCTAAACCGAAATCAATACG